GGGAACATTGGCTTTTTTTTAATAAATTGTCACAAGGAACACAACGATATGCAATTTATAGGGATGTGGGGGGGGGGGGAGTGCACGGTAAGGGGGTCTGGCCCACCGTGTATACCATCTTAAAGAAAAAAATATCGGAGCTGGAAATTCGGTTAAATTATACTGAGCAATATCAGTTAAAAAATACAGTCGAAATTCGAGGAATTCCAGAAAAGCCGGGTGAGACTGTGACTGGGACCATCCTTAGCGTCGGAGCGGTTCTGGGCATCAAGTTAAGTCCAGATGATCTGGATCACACAGTGAGACTCAAACCAAAGCAGGAAGGGACTTCAGGCCCTATCATTGCTCGCTTCGTTAGGCAAACTACAAGAGATGAAATGCTGCAGCAGAGAAGAACGAACAGAGACTTCTCTACACGCCATCTGGGCTGGGGGGACAATGATTTGCACCGGGTTTACATGAACAAAGCAATGACCCTCGCCAATAAACATCTCTACTGGTTAGCCAGACAAAAAAAGATGACGGCAAAGATAAAATACCTGTGGTTGAGTGGTAGTAAAATTCGATGCAGATAGTCCGATGGATATCCGGCGGTAGTTATAGTAAAATCTAGCGACTTGGACGTTTTTATATGAATTTTGTACGTAAGTCTCCCAAAATTTGTATCAATTTTAGTCTTTCCGATCAAAAATATTTTAATTTTAATTTTTGTAAGTTGCCTTCTTCATTATCATTTTAAAGAGCTGAAATTTCATTTGACAGAATGTTTTTTCTTTATAATTTATAGTAACAAAGCCATTTTCATATTTTTCCACATCATAAATTATTTCTTTATATTTATTTTTATTCGAGTCTAGATGATTTTAACTCTTTCTTTTCAAAGTTTATTTTATGTTTATATTTTCTTTTCTGTTGCAAAAATGATTTTGTTAAAAAAACTGTTATATCCTACTCTCCTTCCTCGATCCTTTTCCCTGCAACTCTCCTTCCCAACATCTCAGTTATGACCAATATCCTAAATTCCTGTCACATCAATGCACAATCTCTTAATGCCCACTTTGATGAATTCCAAAAATATTTCCTCGATAATTTTTATCACACAATAGCAGTATCTGAAACCTGGCTGAAACCTTTTATTCCTTCTTCCCAAATTTCCCTCCCCAATTACTCTTTCCTACGTCATGACAGATCTGATCGCACGGGAAGTGGTGTCGGACTATAAGTACATAATAGTCTCAAGACCAAAATCTTCTAACAGTCTCCTTTTCATGACCTCCCTCACGTTGAATATTTATTTGTTGAAATTACCTCTATTTCCTCTCCTTTATTGTATGTTGTTGTCTACCGCCCTCCTCGTGTTCTATTTGACCAACTCTTTGAATCCTCCCTTGTCGACCTGGTTTCCTCCTACTCCAATATCATTATCTTCGGCGATTTTAATGTAAATATGCTCTCAGAATCCTATCCTTATTCCAGTACTTTATCATATCTACAACTTTTCATTGCAAAATTCCATATTTCCCTATTCCTAGAAAACTGCACTAGTCCGACCTTTGAGTAAAACATCTAACACTTCCTCACAGAACGACTACTATCCTATTTCTCTTCTTTCCAAACTCTCAAAACCACTGGAACGCCTTGTCTAAAATCAACTTTCCAACTTCGTAGAAGAACGTTCCCTCATCAATCCATATCAATCTGGCTTCTGACCCGGCTATTCAACGCAATCTGCGCTCCTTAAAATAACCCATGACCACCAAAACTCCACTGAACACCAAAACCTTATTATCCTCATCCTTCTAGATTTTTCCAAAGCTTATGATACAGTTGACCATAACATCCTTCTTACCAAATTGCAAAATCTTCCTCTATCCAACAGTGTCCTGCGTTGGTTCAAATCCTTCCTTTCCGATCGATCCCAGTGTGTAGTCGTTCCAGATCAACCTCCTTCAAAGACACTTTCCCACTCCTGGTGTCCCTCAGGGTTCCTCCTTGTCTCTTATTCTGTTTGTTATTTACATTAATGACCTTCCCCTCCTAATCCATCACTCCCAATACCACATCTAAGCTGACGATTTCCAAATACGACCTGTCCTTCCCCCCTACTGACCTATTAGACGCCAAAAAAAAGCTTAAAGAAGATTTAAATAGAATATATGACTGGGCAGGAGCTAACAAGCTGCTGCTCCAATCACCTCCTCAAAACTGTTCCTAACTTTCTAACCCTGTTCCTACATGATAATCCCCTTGAATTTTATCCCACCATCAAAAACCTTAGAATAATCTTTGATCAAACCCTTTCCTGGAAAAACCATGTGTCCAATATCTCCCGACATACCTTTTCCAACCAAAACACTTAAATAGCCTGCGACACCTTTTTCCTTTTGAAATCCGTAGACTCCTGGTCACCTCCTTAATATTTCCCCACTTCGACTATTGCTGCACGGTATATGGAGGCGTCTCTGGGGATCTCGAGGCGAAACTAAAACGTTTGATAAATTGCTTTGTATGATTCATCTTCGAGATCCCAAGAGACGCTCCTGTATCCTGTTTCTATGAAAAGTTGAAGTGGCTTTATCCTTCCTACCGCCGTAAGTATTTCCTGGCATCCTTCCTCTTCCAAGTAATTCACTCCCGCAATACCCGTTCCCGGTCTTCAGATTTATATATAATGGCCCAACGAACCGCAGCTTTCGATAAATCTTTTATTATTCGATCCTCTTCCGTATGGAACTCCATCCATCTCCACATCCGTCAATCCAAAACCCTTCCTACCTTTAAATCCCAACTGTTAAATCATTTCTTATCCATCCAGTCCTCATAAAATTGTAAATAGTTACTACTGTAAATATGTATATAAATTATTAGATCGTTCTTAAATAAAATAATAATTTTTACTTCATGTTTATTTTTATTTTTTATTATTAACTGATGTAAATTAGAAAGTAACTTATAATTTCTCTTATTATTATTTATTTTTTTTTTTTTGACTATTTAATCAAACTATATTCTTGTTTATGTATCTCTGAGGCTCGTTAGCCCCAGAATAAATAAAGCATTTCTATTATTATTATTATTATTATTATATATGTGCACATACATAAATGCATATATACATATATTCATACACGCATATATATATATACTATTAATGATCACGAAACCCGCCCCTCATCCTCCATCGCCTTCTCTAATTCTCAAAATCTGCCCTCCATTCCTTTATATAGATCTCTTCCATACATCCCTTTACTTTCTAATAACATTCAAAAATCCTTTCGTTTTTCCACCCCCAACCTGGGAGTTGGTTTTAAAAACTACAAAAAACTTGCCAATATTTACTCCAACCTAAAAGACCCCATCCCTCTGCAACATCGCTCAAATGTCGTATACCGTATTCCTTGCTCTACTCCCAATTGTAACTCTGCTTATATTGGAGAAACCAAAAACCAACTTAAAGAGTGCATCAAACAACACAAAAACGCAATTACTTCCAAGAACTCTACTGCTTCTAAACTTCCTGAACACGCCTTATCCTAAAATCACACATTTCACTTTGACAACACCTCCATTCTTGCCACAGTTCCTAACCATGACCAAATACTACTTACGGAAAGTGTTTTCTTCATTCAATTAGACTAAAAACCACTTAACTTAAAAACAGACAAACAAAACCTATCCCTCGCCTATTCCTAAATTATCAACATTTTAAAAAATTCTTAATCATAAACCACTTTCAAATCTTCTCACGTCCATTTAGAGTTTCTTTTACGTTTTATGTGTTATGTGTGCGTGTATATATCTATATTTGTATGCATGTGTACTAGAGCTGTTTTTACACTGTCAGTGTTTCAACTGCCTCCCGCAGTGCCCCATCCCACGGTATTTCTTAACACACCTATCCTTCAACTATACACCTTATTATAATCTTCATGTAGCCTACTATTCCATTACTGCTTTCAAAAAAACATCTATATATAGTATAACTTGGTTTTATCATCATTACCTTCTTTACATTTATATTTACATTCTAAATTTCACTTCTTAAATTATATTCTTACAGAATTATATATGTTTAATAGATCTATCCTAACGATATTATAACTAATGTTATCCTATTAATCTTTCAATTTCTTTATTTGTTAACCTTTAATCCCGTTATCTGTTTACCTGCAGTTATCAAATGTAACCTCCACTAGCTTGTTATCCACTGATATCTTATTATTATGTTATCTTATTCTTATTTTAGCTTTGCTACATCAATACTTATTCAATTTTCAATCTCTTTATTCTTTAACATTCATTTTCTTTATCTGTTAACCTACAGTTATCAAATGTAATCTTTATTAGTTTGTTATACACTCATTTCTTATATTTTATCACAATCTGTTTACTTTTAACTTACATACTATATTCTCCTTTGTTTTCTATTTTTATTCATACTTATTTTCTATTTTTGTTTGTATCTTCTATATATATATATAATACTTGATATTTTAACTACATTGTCACCCACTATATCTCTGATATCATCTTATTATTTCTTTATCAGACAACTTTTTCTTATTTAATATCTACTCATTATTCATTTATTTTATTTTCACCATGCACCTTTTTATTTTGTATGTTTGTAGCCTGATGAAGACCTGCAAGGTGGGTCGAAACGTCAGCATAATAATTAAATAATACTATTTCTATAATTTAGTATTTATTTGACCGCACCCCCCGATCAACTCCTTCTCATATTATATCACGGTCAACCATCTCTACATCACGCTAAATTTTAATATAAATTTTTTTTGTCCGCTACATGTAATTTTAATTCAGAAGTTTAACACAAAGTTTGATCAGATTTCAACGTATTAATATAATAAATTACACAAAATAGACAATTTTTTGATGTTTTTAGGTTTTAATTACACAATTGTACATGTTTTGGTTTTTTACTGCCCTTTTTTTATATTGCACAGAGATCCAGTCTCTAAACATAACTTAAGACTTACTTCTGCACTTGTAATAAATAGCACTCAGCTGAAGGCACAGCAGGCCAGCATACTTCTAAAGCAGCAGTTGCTGCTTTGACAAGCTGCACTCTCCCCATAGGACTAGGTCGATCAACTTCTAAATACCACAAATCCTTACAGCAAACCTAAAAAAATAAAATAAAGATTTACTGTTTGTTGTATTCTCTTTTTTTGCAACCATAAGCATTAATACCACTGGTCTCAAAGCAATAACTAATGATTTGGTATTTCATTTATAAATTTAAATGTAAGAATCACATTTATTGATAGATTTCCAGTTAGAAAACATTATGTGCTATATGTAACTAATATTTCCAGGAGCATAAATCAAACTCTTTTACTAATTTGACATAAAAAAAAGTTTATTTACTTAAATTTATATCAAATGAAAAAAATAAGCAACCATTTACAAGAGTTAACCATTTGTACTCTGCTGTCTCCGGTGAGGGGACATGAAAGTTTATTAGTGATTACGGATAATGAACTTATTCCATCACAATTTTTTAAGAAACACGTGTTTTCTTTTGAAATGGCACAAAAACTTTTTAAATAATTTATCAAGATTAAAAACCATAAGTTATAATAGCTTATTTCACGTATATACACATATATATATATATATATATATATATATATATATATATATATATATATATATTATATATATATATATATATATATATATATATATATATATATATATATATATATATATATATAATCTCTTAAGAAGCTAAAATAAGAATTTCTGTTGCTAGAAAAAAAAATTATTGAATTTAATAATAAGATATCTCACGTTATCTAACATATTGTCATTTATTTTTTAATTTTTATATATTATTTCTGATAATATTTATATTCATTTCACAGATAATGGAGTATATTATAGTGATGCTATAAAGCAAAGAAACAAAAATATCTGATGAAAAATAATGAAGTTACAGATTTATAACCAAAAAGATTGAGGTGGGGACCACTGAGCGTCAAGTTTCTGGTAGATAATGTCTGAAACGGTGTCGAGTGCAAAGAGTTAAAGGATATTGAACCATTTACTATTGGAGACATGTCATACGCGAGGGGATCCAAAAGTATTGGGAATGAGGCTGTGACAGCGAGGGTGAGCGGGAGAACCGATTCTTTGATGGGGAATTCCGTGGGGAACTCTCCCAGAGCTAGTGTTCAAAGATTGGTCTCTGTGAGCGTATTGGTCAGCTGTGAGAATCTTTTTAGTAAAGAAACTTTTTCAATTTTGGCAAGAAATGGTTGACTGCCAGGAGTATTGTACAGCTGTGAAATTTTGTTTACTGTTGGATAAAATTAGTATGATGCTTGAAATAGCTTCTGGGGATGATGCCCTAAGCAAAACATGTGTTAAGAAGTGGTTTTCATGTTTCAAGAACGGAGAGATGTCGATTGAAGACCAACATAGTTTAGGACACCCCTCAACATCCAGAACTGATGACAACACTAAAAAATACAACTCTCTTGTTCATGAAGACCATTGATCACCAAACCATTCATCAACTCTTTTGCAAATGAGAAGGGATGCAGCAAAAGTTGTCCCAAAATGGGGTGTTAACTCCAGGAGTCACGAGCTTCAAAATCAGTTGGCAAAGGACCAAGATTTTTTTCCTGGGTAATGAATGGTGATGAATCATGATGCTATGGGAAAGACCCTGAAACAAAGCAGCAATCAAGCCTGTGGAAGACAGCTTTCTCTCTCCAACAAAAAAAAAAGCCAGTGAAGTCAAACGTCAAAAAAATTCTCGTTTGTTTCTTTAATTGCAGAGATGTTGTGCACTGTAAGATTGTTCCTCCAAGGCAAACGGTCAATCAGCAATTCAGCAGCTTATTATCTTTGGATTTTGAATAGATTGAGGGAGAATATCCAGCAAAAAAGTGCGGATCTTTGGCACACAGAAGATTAGTTCTTTCACCACAATGGACCTGACCACACCACGCTGTCTATGAAACAGTTTTTGACCCAAAATGGCATGACACCAATAGTTCATGCCTCTATTATCAGACCTACCTCCCTGTGGTGGCTTCTTTCAGTTCCTCAGACCCAAAAGCAACCTGGAAGAAAAACACATTGAGACTGTGGAGGAGAAAAACAAAAAGGGCTAATGGACACCCCAATAAATGAATTTAAAAACAATATTGAACAATGGTAGAAACAATAAGACAAGTGCATTACAGTCAAAGGAAAATACATTAAAGGTAAGCAAAATTTGGATAAAAAAAGAAGTTATGATGATTTATATGTTTTTATTGGGTTGTCCGGAAAATTATGCACGATTTTCATTTAAAGACAAATTTACAATATTTACAACTGTTTTATTTAATCCAAATAGTCTCCACTATTATCAATACATTTCTGCCGTGTTGGCAACTTTTCCATTCTCTTGGAATAGAATTTCCCATCTTTAGAATTGATGAACTCCAAAAAAGCATTTTTTATTCCCTTTGTCCATTAATTTTTTGTCAAATAAGTAGTGGTCCCGGTGTCTAAAAAACTGATAAACCGTAGGCAAGAGGTCCAGAGAGTAGGGTAGATGTGGCAGAGTTTCATATCCAAACTCCAACAGTTTTTGTGACGTCACACGTGAGACATGTGGCTAGGCTAACATGAAACGAAATGGGCCCCTTCTAATTGACCAAAGATGGCTTCATTATTGCCAATTTCTGATGCATTGCATTAATTTAGTTACAATATGATTCGGCATTGATGGTTTCTCCAGGATTTAAGATGTAGTATATCAAATCAAATGAAGTCCACCAAACACCAACCATCACCTTTTTATGATGAGTTAGTGGCTTTGGAAAATGTTCTGCTGCTTCTCCTTTATTATTCGTATTACTTTCATTTTGCAGGATTTTGGCGTTTTTGAAATCAAATTCATGTTTTGTTTGCATAGTATGTTGAGAAAGTCCAGTAGCTAATTTAATTTTTGAGTTTTTTTTTTTGTGCCTAATGGACTTTCTCAACATACTATGCAAACAAAACATGAATTTGATTTCAAAAACGCCAAAATCCTGCATAATGAAAGTAATACGAATAATCGTAGAAAAAAGGAAGCAATATACATAACTAAAAATTTAAAAAACTCGGTAAATAATCATACAGACGTGGATAATATGAATACATTTTACGCGAGTTTAATAGAAAAAATAAAAATTTGAAATGAATTAGCTTATTTTACTTAAAATAGGTCCGCATATAATATTGGGAAACATCATAGCATAGTATATGTTTTAAAATAAATAGTCTTCCCCTACTCCTTTAAGAACAACCAGTCACTGAGTAGAAATGAGACTGATGACATGTCGGTGACACATGATAAGGTAATTTTAACTTAATTGAATCATTTAATAAGAAATAATTGAGTAATAATAATGTTATTAAATAATTAAAGGTGGACATGACAAAAATAAAAAAAATTATTATGAGTGGACACATGCAATTCGTATAAGTGAAAAGGACAGGTACATGATGGGTATTTAGGTATATAAAAAGAATCTCTATATGTTTTGAAGTATGTAATGTTTTAAATATGATTGTAAAATGTAAAAATTTTTTTAGACTTGAAAATGGCTCAACGAGCCGAAACGTCGTAATTAAATATGATGTCTTTAAGTTGAAAAAATTTTAAAAATTGGCTGATAATAAATAAACTTGAAAATATACCAATATAAGCAAAGTGTGTTCAAAAAGTAACAGTTTTCGTTATTACTTAGGTGAATGTCTGAATATCTGTTAATTGTTAGTCAAATCAGATATTTAGTGTGTTATCAATTGTCAAAACAATTACATTTGTTTTGGTATGATCAGGGATTACTTATTTGTTTAAAACATGGATTAGAAATGATATCATATACAAATTGCACCAAAGGTTGAAATTTTTTAAAAGTTTCATTTTAACAGTTTACGTGAAACTTTTTAGGAAAAAAGTTATTATAAGGAACTTTTATGTAATAAAATTCCAGGTTTATGGTAAAAGTTTAACTTGTATTTATTCAAGTCATTGAAAAAAGTTCAGTTAAATGAAGATTAAACAGCAATTAAGATTAGATTAAACTTATAACTTGCCTTGATGAATTACGCATGATTCTAATGTATTGTTTGTTTGAAAAACTATGAATAGAAATTATTTTTTATGACTTTTTAGCGAAATTGACAGAACTTTTAAATAAAAGTTCTGTAAAACCTTTTCTTGAAAGTTTCCTACGGAAAAAGTTCTAGTTCCAAAAGAACTGAAAAACTATCAACAATAAAAATTCGGGTGACACTGAAAATTTTTAATTTGTTTCAAGCCCTAATTGCAATAAATTTTTCTATAAAATATAATTAAGTGCAGTTGTTCAAGAATTTAATGTTAAAGAGTGTCTAGGACATCACAGCACATCAATAAGAGGTACTAGCTTTGAAATACTTTGTTAACCATTAACATAAGTGTTAACCAATCTGAGAAAGTGCTCAAATTTACATTAAAAACAATACGTGGCTTATACTACAGTTTTTATGGAGACGAATTATTTCATTTTCCATGACTTAGTCGATTCTTGAGGGTTTACATATTTCTTTCGGCCAATCCGGTGGCTGGATAGCCTTGGACAGAAAATTTCTGCTTTATGCCGTTGGTAAAACAGAATTTTTTGAAGTGGTGGTGAATATTGTTGCATTCTATGGTTTTTAATGTTGTTGGAGCCTCATTGATGCAGCGAATTTCAGGGCCAGCTTGCCATCTGTACTTCCTTGCTACTTTTCTATACCAGTCATCAGAACTCAGCAGCCTTCCTATATTTTTCACAGCCTACAATTCAAATATTCCATTCAATCCCGTCTCACTAGATCTCGTACCTCCGATCTATATCCACCTCCCCACCGAAGTGCAGCGTTTGACAAATTCTTTATAATTCAAGCCGTCTCCTTCTGGAATACCATCCCTCCCGATATTCGACATGTACAATCAGTTTCCTCATTTAAATCTCTCCTTTTTAACCACCTACTCCTTTCCCAACCCGATTGATCATGAAATGTAGATAAGAGAACTTTTAAAGTTCCCCCAGAAATGATTTTCTTTACTTATGCTATTTGCCACATTTGTATTATGCATATCAGTATGTTTTTAGTGTAATAGTTCTATTTTTTGTTTTATTCTTTTTCCAAAATCTTAATCTTAATAAGAATTGTAAATAATTAATTTTATGTATGGCCACACAGGCATTAATTCTGTAACTGTAATTTGTCCTAAAGGGAAAACAGTCCCAGGATAATAAAAAAATATTTTCACTTCATTTCACCTTTAAACAATAGAACTATAATTTTTGAAAATTTTGTCGAGGGTTGAAACAGAATTTTCTTCCATGAGGATTGATGCAAAATTTCTGTCGGGTTCATTAAAATTAATCCCAAGTGACGAATTCATAATCAGCTCAACAGTGGGGTGTAGCCTTCCGGAACAATGAATATTTCTTCTTTTGAAGTTCGTTTTTGTATTGGACATTGACTTGAATTTTCCCTTATGGGCGAAATATGTTGTTATTATAGGATCAAAACGCTAAATTTGATTTTTCGAGTGCTATATTGAGTTTGAGAACATTGAACTATAAGGAGGCAGTAATGTGAATTCTGTTCTGGAATAGACTTCAAAATCCTGACATTGATTTTCGATTTTTACTTTAACAAAATATTAATCGTTATCATTGAAACTGGAGTGGTAATTCTCAAAAATATCAACAATTAGGTTAATTTCAAATGTGTCGTCAAAATCTGCATTTTCAATCTCTTCATTTGTGTATGTACTCTCCTTTGTGCCTCAACGTTTTTAGGTACACTAGACAAGGCAGCCGGCCTGAGACCCTATACACGTCAGTGTTGTTCGATATTGATTGTTGGAGCCCTATTTCTTGAACATCATTTTTGGAAGCTTCCAATACAAGTTCCTTCTCGACTACCTCATCAAAATCATTTAATTCACTTAACTTTATTGAAGATCACATAGAAACAGAAGTACATAGTTATAACCCAAGTTGAGAATCCTTACCTCAAGAATCACATGACAATTTATAATACATAATGACGCACACACAACTCCTCATACTTCATAACGTCTTGGTGATTTTTTGGCCAAAAACATCACTCCAATGATACCACAGTCTCCATATTCACCAGATAAAAGCCTTATGTAACTTTTATATGTTTAATAAAGATTATTAAAAAAACAAAACAATTTTGGAGACTTAACACTGGAAAATTTTGTTAAACTGCCATTACACCAAGGAAACTAAGGTTCACAGCTTTCTAAAGGGTAATAGGTAACACTAACATAACTCTCTCTGACTAACTAAAGTGGCTGAGGTTAACACGTGTACAAAACGCACGTTGCTGGCAACCTTGATAAGCCGATGATTTCAAATAGATTGGAGATAAACCGAAGAAAACCAAATCACTTGGTAACTAACAAATGGTTCTGTAAAGCATTAAAAACTCATTTTATTATATAATGGAAAATTTCCCCCAATTCTTTCATTGATAACTATTTTAAATACTCCACAAAGTTACAAGTAGAAAAAAAAAAGTTAATGAAATTGAGGATAAATAAGAAAACACAATGCTAATAACTTTATTTTATTTTTAACAATAAGTATGGTAATCTAACTGGTTACATACTGCTACCTGATTGTTCCAGGCCTTTCGATATCCATCACGGCCAGACCAAATATAAATTCTTCCATTTACACCAACTGCACAATGACCAGCTCTAGCTCTAGGCATATTCTCTTCAGATGAATCCATAGAAAGATCTTCCCAAATCATGGTGTCTAAAGACATGAAAAATATACATATGTTATACAGCTGAAATAAATGAAATAAGAAGATTTTTAATCGTTGTTTATAAAATACGAAAAATAGACAATAAATAATTGTTCAATATTAAGTACCAATCACAATAATTCAATAAATTTAGAATAATTCTTCTTTAAGATAAGGTGAAGAAAAAAACAATCATTATCACAAAAGAACCAAAGAAAACAAAATCAGAATTTAATTTTTATTATTACTTATTTAGTAGCTATTTTTCTATGTGGACATCCATCCTCTGGTTAGAGTGCAAGTTATACTACTTTGGTATTTCTTAAAATAACCCCCTCCTCAGACAATAAGTAAATATATAAATATGTGAAATAAATTGAAATATAACACTGAGGTTTCATGAAATAGATCTATTGACAACAAAAGACGATGGGACTGCTGAGCAATCATGAGTTAAAGTATTGAATTCTATTGATGGTTTCCATTGAGCTTTGGAATCTTGCCATATGGACAAAAGGTAAACTGAATAATCTTCTTTTTGCTGGGAAGCTGTATGATATTCTCTGTTTTTGGCAATGATTTGTTGAATTTACATGTTAAGGTTTTGGTAAATTTACTCCCATTTTCAGAACTTACAATCCCATATTTTGTTATCGATTCATGACTAGAAAGGAGTTAATTAGAAAATAATACATGTTAGAGTTGCATTTTTACATAAATTTTGTAATTACCTGAAGTCTGATGTGCTCTTTTGTCATGTTTTAAATTTATGTTGTAGATAAATTACAGTTATAATATCTAGAGCATCAATAAAATTTATATAATACTTATTGAGAATTTTTACCCTGCAAACCTAATCAACAAATTATGGTACAGTCGATTACATAATACAACACTAAACCAAAATGATAATAAAATCAAAAAACAAGTAACATACAAAACACCAAAAGAAAACATTACAATAAAGAAACCAACTCAACAATTCATCACTCAATTTTTTGAAAAAACAAATTTAACAAACGAGAACAATCAAGAAAAAATTTAACAAACAAAATGAACTTTAACTCCTTCTACAAAATGACATAGATACTTACTTGAACTTTCAAAGAAAATTAAGGATGTGTTTAAAAATTATGACATACCAGAAATCAAACTTGGGCAATACAATAATAAGAAACTGAGCAGGTACATCACCAATACAAAAGACAGAATAGACTCATTAGACAAGAAAAATATAATTTACAAATTAAACTGTTAAAACTGCCCCAAAATCTACATTGGGGAAACATCTAAACACTTACGGACCAGAATTTCACAGCACATTACCAACTGCAAAAATACAAAAAACATGAACGCCACAGCTTTAGCACATTACAACACAAATTCAATTTCAATAAACCACAGATATCAGGCAAAAAAACAAAAAACAATAATAGAAAATTACTTGAAGCCATACACATCGCAAAAAAAAATAGAACAGCAGTAAATTACAAAACGGACACCAAACATTTGGGGGCACATTATGCTGATATATTAAATAAAACTAAAATATAGTAAAAATGAAATGCACCTACATAACAATCTTTTAACAACAATAGTAAAAGAGTAAATAATCATATCCAAAGGTCAATAGGATCCCCCATAGCAGACACCCAATTATTGGTCTACAGGAATGTTGATGCTCTAGATATTATAACTGTAATTTATCTACAACATAAATTTAAAACATGACAAAGGAGCACATCAGACTTCAGATAATTACAAAATTTATGTAACAACGCAACTCCAATGTATTATTTTCTAATTAATTCCTTTCTAGTCATGAATCGATAACAAAATATGGGATTGTAAGTCCTGAAGATGGGAGTAAATTTACCAAAACGTTAACATTTAAATTCAATAAATAAATAAATTGTTGTATATTTGGAAGTTATCATTGCCAAAAACAGAGAATATCATACAACTTCCCAGCATAAAAAGAAGATTATTCAGTTTACCTTTTGTCCATATGGCAAGATTCAAAGCTCAATGGAAATCATCAATATCTGTATCATATCCACATGCTAGGCTGAAGTATATATTTTCTGAACTTGCTTATTATTCTAAGGAGACTTTAGTCCCAGAATAAAATCAATTTTTCATTTAATTTTAATTCATTTAATAGTGGTAGATACACTTCCCCCGAGAAATTTTTCTAAATCCACTGATCAAATATTTATTATACCAAGCATAACATTTATTTAAGCATTTCTTATACATTTAGTCATTATACATACATCTGTTGTGCTAATAATGAATGAACAATTATCTATACACAATTAATAAGTGAAAAAATATATTTACAAACATACTTGAAGGAAGTTAGTCGACTGTTCTACATATCACGGGTGATAAATATTCAGGACGCAGTATTTTTTAAAAAAAAATACTGCATCCTGAATATTTATCACCCATGATTTATAAACATTTTAACTTCGTTTCCTCCCTCGACACTTAAGGAGAAAGCCTTGATGAAGGCCTGAACTTCAGGTCGAAACGTCGGCATATGTAAAAAATAAATATAATTTATTTTTGCCTTCCTTTTTTGACTGAACACCCCAACTATTCTTCTCTTCATTTATAAACATAGCTTGACAAATATACATGAAGTCTAAGTAACTATCTTATCCTTACAGGACAAATGCCAAATATAATATTGCATTAATTTTAAGATATTCATGAATTTAATATAAAAAGAATTGAGATAAAAATAAAAAACTGCAAAGAAAACAATGTTACACATATATTATAAGAAAAATATAATTACCTAAATTCAAGCAAGCCAATTGATTAGTACATTTCCATTCTTTTTCATGAGTAGCTACTTTAACATCATCTAATACCATAGGAACCCAGCCTCCAAACACATACATTTTTTCTCCTACAACTGTAGCAGTATGCAGTGATCTAGGTAATGGCTGAGGACCACCAACCACTGGCTCACTCCATGTCATTGAACCTTGAAATTATTAAGGAAATTTTTAAAAAACAATACTACGAGAATGAAGAAATGAGACCAGTATGAAATTAAACCACCTACAACAGAAAATAGTTTTATGAGGTATAACCTAACATAAAATATATAGAAGAAAAGTTAATTTTATTCTGGAGCATTCAGCCCCCAAAGAATGATTATAATGACATATGTATGGCAGACAAGTTAATCATCTTCTTGTTAATTAAATTACATTGCTATGGGGTCTTTAAATTAAAATAACGAAAACCACAAGTTAACATTTAAATTATAGGTAGATGTATAAGAGTGTGTTTACACATAGATAATGGGTAATATATAGGTATCTATAAAAAAAACAGTAAAATGAGGTGACAGCTCTAAAAAAATATTATTCTTATATACATTCGGAAGATTGATTGCTGAGATGGATAAATAAACGGTGTTAAAATGTGGTTAAGGATGAGGATTTGCTTATGGAAGTAGGAAAGGAATTCCAAAACAAGGTAGCATGTATGAGAAACATTTTGCAAAGGAAACAGTCTTATGAGAAGGAATAAAAAGGTTTGTGGGCTCGGATCTCGTGTTGAAAGAATGGAGAAAAGAGCGAGGAGTAAACAGGTCAAGAAGGTAAGAAGGTTTTTTTGTTGCAAAGGTTTGGAAAAGGAGAACACCTAGGAAATATTGCCGTCGGGAAGCTGGATAGAGCCACTGCAGCTCGGCGTAACCAGCTTAAGAAGTGGGAGCACCTGAGGGCTCCCAAAGATGAATCTAATGTAACAATTCATTAGTCTCTTCAATTTGATCTCAAGCCCACCAGACAGTCCACCGTATACAAGGCAGCCATAAGTAAGGAAAAATGAGAGGAAACTAGGAGCTGACGGGTGTTTAGGAGCAAAGAATCACAGAATCTTAGGAACTGTTTTAAGGTAGCAATAGATTTACGTTTGGGAAATATGATTGTTCCAGGAAAGATATTGATTGAAAATTACTCCAAGATTTCTAATGGAATTTTGGAAATATATGAGGTCCAATGAGGTAGAGTAGAGAATAACAAGGGATGGAATTGATAAGATGCTTGGAACCAATGAGAATGGATTTGATCTTCTCAATGTTCAACTTTAAATCATTGCTCACTGCTCAAGTGGTAATATCATCTACATCTTCCTGTAACCGTCGTATCACCTCAAGCATTTCGGTATGATAAAGGAAGATAGATTTGAAGGTTTTCTGCATAAAGGTGGTATTGTAAATGATGGAAGGAATTAAGAAGGTCGTTGATGTAGATGGAGAAAAAAGTTGGAGAGAGTGAGATCCTAGAGGAACACCACCAGTAAGAGGGGGGGGGGGGAGGAAGGAGTTTCATTGAGAATAATGACTGTTTGGGATCTGTGATACAAGAAGGAATGGAACCACTTTAGGACGCTATTTAATATGGAAAGGTTTTGGAGTTTGGAAAGAAGGATTTTATGATTAACGGAATCGAAAGCTTTTGAAAAATCAAAGAGGACTAGGATAGAGATTTTATGTTTATCTATGGAGAATTGAAGGTCTTGGGAAATTTTCAATAAACCAGATTAGGTGGAGAACTGGGATCGGACCAGCCTGTAGGGGATTGATAAGTGCATTTTGCTCAATGAAGGTATTTAACTGAGAATGGACTAGTCTTTCGATAGGCTTTAAAAGTTTGAAGAGAATGGAGATGGGTCTGAAATCGGAAGCTTTGGAGGGAACTGGAACTTTGCTCAAAGGGCGGACTATAATTTTTTCCCAAGCTTATGGAAAACAGGAATTTTGAAGGGAAAAATTGTAATATGCAGTAGGATAGGAAAGATGACTGGGATATATAATTTGATTAATTTCAAAGGAATTAGATCTGGACCATAGTCATTCGTTCTGGATTTGAGGAGAGAGGTTAGTAGGTCCTCTAGCAAGATATTAGTAAAATAGAAATTTGTATGGTCAAAGGAAGTTTTTTTGGAAGGCAGTATGGTGAAGAAAGTGGTATAGAGATAGGATCAGTAAAATAAGAATTCAGTTTATCAGGAGAAACAGGACAGGAGGGAAAGATTTTTGAATTTACTATGGAGAGATTTTAGAGGATTTTCCATTTGGACTTATGATTTGGTGCTTGTGATAGGGAAATATGGAAGAATTGTGCCTTAGCACGCCGTAAGGTTTCGTTTAAGATTGGATAAGATTTCGGAGAGTCTTGAAAGAGATGTAATCTTCTGGATTACATGTGCGTCTTAAGCGTCTTCTAGCAGCGTCTCTCTTCTCTTCATCAACTCTCTGATGGTAAGGGTGCGTGTTTATTCAGAAAAAGGAGATTGGATGAAAGATAATCCACTATTTCATCAATGGTGGAATAGGAGTAGTTGGGATCTAAGGATTGGGCTAATGATTCGAGGAAAGGGTTTAGTTTTTCAGAGGTCTTGGAGCCCAGATCTTGCCATATAATTTGCTTAGGGTTTAACTTGGGAGTCGTGCCATAGAAAATCTTAATGAGGTCATGATATAAGAGAAAGGAGACAGGATTCTGAGAGAAAGATAATAAATTTTGAGAGGAATCAATTAGAAATTGATTCAATTATAATCTATTTTAGAGCTAAGGTTCAGCGGGATAACTGTTAAAACTCTTAGAAAGGTTATCAGAACTTCAAAGAAACTTTGACCTAAATTAAATAAATTTCGACCCAGTAAATACCGACTCTTGAGTGTCAAAATTAAAAAAATAAATTCTCATAATCCCTTTAAGAGCCCATTTCCTATAGTTAAGCAATTAAAACTAAACACACAGAAAAAAAAAAAGATGTGGGGAGGTTAAGTTCGCACTTTATGCGACTTTGAAAAATTAACGCTGCTTTGGTATCAAGTTAAAAAATATGGTTCATCTATCTGAATATAATTAACTTATCTGGGGACATCTGAACTCTTAAAAAAAAATACAAAAATCATCCAAAATTTATATTGAAAATGTTTAATGTCCTAAAAAGTAAACAAATTTTTAACGATTATTATTATTATATCCTAAGTGCAATGGATGGTGTTCCTCAAGGTATCGTATTGGGTCCCGTCCTTTATATCCTTTTTACCGCCAATTTACCCACCCTATACATCCCAATACCTTCCTGGCAACATGTACTGATGAAACCGCCATTTTATCATCAGACTCAGATCCTGATATAGATTCAACCTTCAAAGACACCTCTCCCTGATTGAGCACTGGTGTAATGAATGGCGTATTAAAGTAAATGAATCCAAATGCCAACACATTACCTTCACACTCCGATGCAGTTCCGGTCCACCAGTACACTGTAATTCCATCCAGCTTTCTTTCTCAGACACAGTCCGGTATCTTGGCTTTCTCTTAGACAGACGACTAACGTGGAACCCTCATACTCAGGACTTAAAAGACAGAAACTTAACCGACGATACGGGCAACTATACAGACTAATAAATAGAAAATCTAAACTTTCTATTGAAAATAAAATACTTATCTACAAGACAATACTGAAACCTAATTGGACTTACGGACTTGAACTGTGGGGAACAGCAAAATTTTCTAACATCATACCCATCCAATTCTTCCAGTATAAAGTCCTTCGAATAATAGTCGATGCTCCTTTCTATGTAATCAGCAAAATCCTACACCATGACCTTAATATCCCATTTGTTCTATACCTTATCCCAGCAAAATTCTCCAAATTTCACCAGAACCTTACCTATTATCCGAATCCCTTTGCACAATCTCAATCCAGAACCACCCATCCCTATAATCCTTCAAGAAGGTTAAAATGGCAGTGGTCCCTTTTATAGTTTGTAAATATTGCAGTTCTGACAATGGCCAGATTCTCCACTCATGACATGAGTATACGTGGCTAAAGCATTGTCATTTAATCTCCACTGGGTTTAGCCCCAGTGATGCAGTTGAGAGAGAAGTGCAAGGATCTCCTGGAGTCATGCTTTTCCCTCCACAGTTGGAGGGACAAGTCTGGCTTGGAGTTCTCTCACCTGATTGTAAATCTATATATATAAAAATGAATGCATGTCTGTCTGTCTGTCTGTTTGTTCTTAGTCGCCACCGATCGCCATGAAACTTTGGGAAGTTGTTCCGTACACTCCTGGGAAGGTTTCTGGCATAGTACTTCTGTCTTACGATAATTTTATATATGTAAAAAAAAATAAAAATGTAAATGTTTTTCTGTTCAAAGACGCAAAAAATGTGTCGCTATAAACTGTAGCGCCAAAACGGCTTTATCGATTTTAACAAAACTTGGCTAAAGTCTTCCCCTTGAAACCCTTTTAATTTATGTGTATAACATACTTTCCCGAAAACAAGCTGAAAAATGTTACAACTTTTGACTGATAATACCCACATTTATTTGAAAGATTCCTGAATTGCTGACAAAATAAAAAAAAATCATCAAAATCGGACGGTTCGTTGCAGAGTTATTGAGTTTTAAACAGTTACTGCTTTCTCTTCAGAAAAGGCCGTTTCCTTTTGCTTCCTCACTATCGAACGTCGGCAAGCATTTTTTTTAATATTTTTTTTTATTGATTAATCGAAAATTTTATAATTAGATAGATAGATAGAAAAAAAAACTTTATTCTGGGACTAAGTCCCTTCAGAATAACAATAATGTACAAAATATTAGAATATTACTAGCCTGAACGTTGAAACAATAAATAAAATAAAAAGTAAAGAAAACCTTAGGTGCACAAGCTATATACAATACAGATAAAACTATGTACAGAGCATTTAAAATTATGAACAAAACAATTAAAACTATGAACGAATCACTTGAACTATGAACAAAATTATATTTAAGGGTTGAACAACATAAACATACACTTTGAGAAATGAAGAACGAAAAAGAGATACAATGAGTTCATTTCATAAAAAAAAACAAAAATGTATGTATTGAAATTCCTACGTCGATAGTAGGAAATGCATGTACTATCCCTTACCAAGTGTTATGATTATATGATTGTTACACAATACA